CCCGCCGCAGCCCGAGGCGGGCCCGGCCCTGGCTAGCACGCTCCGGGTCCACCCGCGGCGCAGAGCCTCCGCCCGGCCCAGAGGCTGCAGACTTGCCCCGGGGCCCCGCGCCGCTCACTCCCATACACGAGAAGCGGTGGTTTACACACGGGGCAGGGGACTTCAATACACGCAGCGCCAGGGTTGAGGCACGGCGCAGTCCAAGCCCTCTCGAGCCTCGGATTCGTGCTCCTATGTTCCCGAAACCGTCTTCCCCCACCGGGGCTTTCTGCTTGGGAACCCACAGCAAAAGGCAGAGGAGATGTGCATCTTGTAGGCCGACTACCTCCGAGATGCGCACACGTACCCCGCCTGCCATCTGATTTCAGCCCAGCACGGATCACTGGAGTGCCCCGACCTCCTTCACTAGCTTGTTCCGTGGGAGGGAACACCACCCCCCAGGAGGGCAGCTTAAAGGAGCTCAACTGTCTGTCCAAACTATTTAGGTTAGGAGGGAGAGCAAACTCTTCCCCAGTCTCCGTTTCAACTTTTGATCTAAATCTATTGACTGCTTTGTTCAGCAAACACTAATCTAGCAGAGGACCTAGGGAATGCAGGGAGGTTGAGGTGGCGAGGGGTCTTCTCTAACGTGGGCCCTTGTACAAACCGAGATGACAAAACAGCAGGCAGGTCTTTGCTGCTAGTCTGCACCAGGAGAGGAACAGGGAAGGGAGCTCAGAGTCCTCTTTAAGCGTTGATCGGTTACAAGTGACAAAAGCAACATTCAGGACACAGGACTCCAGAAAGCAAAACATACCACATAAAAACTGGGGTTTGTACTATGCACTAAAACTCACTGGGTTGTTATTCTTAGGGTAATGGCAAAGGGCAGCTTTAACTGGGCACATCTACACATACATGAAGCCACTTTTTCTAATGTGCATTAAAATTTTGTACTTCCAATGTGAGGTACTAGAGAAGTATGCATTAGGCTGCCTTAATGTGTGGTAATGAATGTGCATGGTTTTTAAGTGCTGCTTAATGCACAGTAGCCTATTTTACATAACTGCATGGTTTTTTATGTGACACTTTAATGCGCAGTAAAATAGACAACTGAGCATTAAAGCACACCTGTACATGCAACCACTGAGTTGCAATTGACCAGTGCACCAAAGAGGCTTGTGTTTTCTGCCAAACAGCAGTTTTTATCGAATAGAGCTGGCTTTGGTGAACTGATCGCATGTGTCATGAGCCAGGAAAATGTGCGCAGGAGGGAAAATAGGAGGGCTCCCCTGCAGAGTAAATGAATAACTCCAAGAAGAGGGGGGTAGTGAGGGAGAAAAAAAGAAAAGACGGCTTCAGGCAACTAGTAAACTCCAAAGCCTGAGACAAAAGCACTGGTTTCCAGAGCCAGGGGTTATAGGCTTAAGTCACATCTAGAATTAAAATGTACTCTGTTCCTGTTTATGGTAAAGCAATCTTTGTTTAAAAAGAATTAGGGAGAGGTGGTTGGGGGCCCCTCTCTGGATTGAGTGATGAGGAGGCCAGGGATTCTTTCACAGAAAAAAATCAACTCCTATCACAGGAAATATGTTCAAATAAAATACATTGTCCAAAGAGCCACCGACTGACACTGAATATTCAGGACAACACTTGTGATACCCATGTCTTGTTATGGACTTTAACTGATCTCTCCTAAACAGCTTGAAACGCATGGAAGGAAGCACCGATGAAGGCCAAACATTATGAACTGGATTGCAGATTTCACTGTTTTTTACATCAAGGTGTGCCACTTGTGCAGAAAGCGAACCGCATGTGCATTTGTAAATATGTCTTTACCATAAATTATAGCTGTGTATGCTATGTATCTAGATGGTAAAATTAAAAGGTTAAGATGATTGTGTAAGTATGGACCCTCAAATAAAGCTGTTCCTTTTTGTAAGGAGAACTAGCCATTTACTCATCAAGAATGACAGGGAGAGGGGGAGCAGGTGGGGATGGAGCCCCTGGCCCCCCATCTGAGCCTGCTCCCCCTTCCCTCCTGCTGCTTGGAGTCCAGGCCCGCTCCCTGCTGAAGTGGCAGGGGGAAGGGTAGAGCAGGCCGGGGCCCAATGACAGGGAGGACCAGGTCCAAGAGTGGGGACAAGCTGGGCCACCACACTGGGGGGGGGAGCAGTGGGCCCAGGCTGACCCAGCAGCGGCAGGGGGATGGGATGAGCAGGGCTGGGGCCAACACAGGGAAGCGGCGGTGGGGGAGGAGTGGGCCCAGGCCCAGTAGTGAGAGAAGTCTCACTCCTCTCCTCCCCCTGCAGCTGCCGTGTTAGGCCGGGCCCCCCACTGCCGTAGCAGGCCAGCTTTTCCTCCCAGCTCGGGCTCACCCCCCACACAGGCCCAGGCCCAGGCCCAGGCCGGACTGTCACTGCTAACACCACATTGCACCTGTTCCCCCACCCTCGCATCAGGACCACTTGGGGACGAGAGGAGCAGGCTTGGGGCCGATGTGGCAGAGGGGGTTGGGAGAGGAGTGGACCCAGGCCTGAGTGGGAAGGAGGCCTGCTCCTTCCCTCCCCCAGCTGCTGCCATGGCCGCATCAGGCCAGGCCTGCTGTTCCCCCACTGCGGCGGGCCGGCTTCTCCCCTGCTCAGGCCCACTCCCCCGTCCTCCCCGTGTTACCTGCAAGGAGCAGGGCAGGGGGGGCCCCTTCCGTCCACTCTGTTGCTGCTGCCTCCAGGGAGCGGGGGGCAGGGTGGGGGGGGGTGAGGCCAGCCCAGCCCAGCCCACTCCATCCCATGTCTCCACCATCATGGCAGGAGGCTGCCTTCTGTCAGAACGCTTCTTTGCGCTCTGATTGGCTTTTTGTCTGGAAAAACAAAGCACCTCCCAGCTACCCCAAGAGCCAAGGATACCAGGTAACTTTAACACAACATACCTAAGAATAGCTGGAAGGAGATGGTGGGGACCTCCTGCAGAGTTCATGCTAAACCACTGGATGCACCAGAATGGGGTGAGCAAAAGATAAAAGGTCTTACTATTTCTACCAGCCTACAGGATGGTTCAACATATTTCCTTTGGTCTACTTTGTAAAAGTTATGATCTTTCAGAAGCATGGTAGATTTTCTTAATTATTCTCTCTTCCAAAGTATAAAGAAACACACTAACCTCTTGCTGCATGAAATCAAGTATTTATTAAATGAACAAACCTTTAGCATTGACTCCTTTATCTATATATATACACTGAGTTCAGGGTTCATAGTACTAGTTTCTGGGAGAGTCCCAGGGCATCAGAATCCCAATAAATTTCCCAACTCAGGACTACAGACCTGAAGTTTGTGATCTCACGTTTTCATCTACTGTTGTGACCCATACAGAAAATGAAAATATTCTTAAAATCTTCACTTAAATAATCTAAGTCTACAGCTTAAGGTACTTAAGCTTTGCAAAGTAGTTAAGTATTGTTTTGGCAAATGCATAAAGAAATGTGTTCTGTTTTCAGTCTGTACATATCTAAATGGGAAGATAAAAGCTATTCCAAATACAGTTAAAACTTGATCTTGAATGACTAGTACATTATTAATGTATTAGGCCATTCCTCATACACGACTTAACAGATGCAAAACAAACACGAACTGGTCATGTTCATTTTATGTTGAAAAGATGTGAATCACTTCCATCATTTTTACATTCAAACAAACGGAAAATTTATTGTAAGAGTAATACATTTAATGTGCATCATTAAAAATGATCTAGAAAGATTACTTCTGTACAAAATTCATGCAGTCTTGTCCACATGATGGCTGGTAGCAACCGTATTTTAAGTATTGAAATACTTTCAGCTGATATCTTTGAGCATATTTTATTTTGTCTATTTCTGAAGCTCTGTAGCCCATCACTGAACTCCAGTTTCCATCAACATTCTGTTTTTATGAGTTCTTTAATGATGTGTAAAATCTTGTCATCTAGGAAGGAAAACACCAAAGTTAAGTAGAAAAAGATGAAAAAACCCCCAATAAATATGTATGAAAAAAGCAGAAGATGGGAGGTAGCTCTCAATCTCCCAAAATCTTAATGATTAGTGAGGCTGTATTAGATCAATGCACCCCCAAAGTTACAAAATTATAAAAAACTGTACACCTAAAAGCATGTAAACACTGCAGACTGTTACAGTACATGTTGCATTCTAATGGACCACCTGTTACTGTTTTGATGCATCAAAAGGAAGATGAACAAAACTAAAAGAAGGGGAGACCTACAGAATTTACATTAACATACTTCATCCCAATTCAGTTTTTACCTTTTGACATGTTCCTGAAATTTTAAAGGTCTAGGTTATGCTTCTATCCATTACTCTGGGAGTTACTTAGGTCCTTGCACATGTTATTGGTAAGCACTGTGCAATGTCACTATCATACACTGTCCCAGAGTTGTGTGACAGCTATGGAGAGAGATTGGAATTCATCGATGCCCACCAGAACAAAATGTGAGTTCACTTCCACACTGAGAAATAGAAACTAAATCATTATTACTGGTACTATTAATAACTTTTACAAAAGTCAGTCTATTCCAGAGACATCTTTAACTGGGCAGTCAGTAAATGTAATCTCTGAAAAATTATATCACACTTCACCCTTGTCCAAGAACACATTCTTTGTGTATATACTGTGTATAATTAACCTGCGCTTTTATGCCAATACTATGATGATAGTTACCTTCAAGCGACATTTTAGGATTTTCAAGCTTTTTCTTTAAAACAGACTCAATCAGAACTCTCAGTTGTTTG